TCTTTAACAAAGACATTTTATTAAACTGAAAGAGTTTTAATTCTTTTATTAATACAAAAGTATTTATAATTTTTGTATTATATATATATATATATATATATATTCATTCTTGAATTTCCTCTTTTTTACTTTCCAACGACTCTCATCCCTGGGAAGCCAAGGGAACTTCTGGATCAAGTATTGGGTGAAATGTGTCGTCGCGGAGAACTTTTTTGATAGAACTAACCAGCATTTGCGTTACATGGGGAGGAAAACCATGAACACCTCCCACGGTTAACTTAACGGGTAGGGGACTCAAACCCATGATTCGTCCACCACTGATGATTTTTCACGTCAGCATTGTGTCCGGAGTTCGTATCAACCAGCCATCACTGGGATTCGGAAGCGGTTCACCTCATTGGAAGGCGAACTCTATCCCCTGAGCTTCCATGTCTCTTTCTACTACTAATGTTATTAATGACATTTTTTCCACGATTATTGTATTGGATATATTGAGCGAAGTATTGATCGAAATCAAGTATTGAGCGAAATTTGCCTTCGTAGAGGACATTTTGAGGGAACTAACCCGCATTTGCATTACATGGCGAGGAAAGCCACAAAAACCTCCCACGGTTAGCGAGACACGATCGACCACTGGGAATATTTTAAGTCAGCACTGTGGTTGGCGCAAGCTGGAGCCGAAACTTGTATCGACCTACCATCGCTGGGATTCGAACCCGATTTACCTCATTGGAAGGCGAACGCTCTATCCCCTCAGCCATCACGAGCCATGTTTTGCGTTTTCAGACACTTCTGCTAGTTCAGTGCATTTTTTGAAGTTTATTTTTACATTATTACTAGCTCATTTTTACAATATTCACTCATTTTAAGACCTGTAGACAGTTCTAGTTGAAATAGTTTAGAGCCTTTATTTATTTACAGTTTGTACAGAAGTACAGTGTGTTTAAAAAAAAGTGAAAATGTTTGTTTCTGAATTCGATTTCACAGTGCATCTAAATAGTTAACTTTTCTTTCGTTATTTTTGAATTAGTGAAAAATACATCTCATTTCATTTTAATATAAATGTTTGAATACAATTGTATGCTATATGAAATTTTAAGCTAGATGTATTTCAGAATTAATTCTTGTATTTAACTCTTGTACAAGGCAGAGATGCCAACTTGCTCCGGACGGTAAATATATATTTTAAAGTGGTAGTTTATCAATTGTGATTCTTGGTTTAAGAAATTCAATTTAGTAGATTTTTATCCACCACTATTTATAAATAATTCGTAGGCTTATATAATTCACCAAGTTATAGTACTTATGTCATGCTATACCTCTTAAAAAGCAATAAAAAATAGTCAAATATTTGCAAAATTAACTTTGTAATTATTTACCGTTTTTTTTTAAAATTATTTTGGCGTGTCCGGAGCAGTTGGCATCTCTGCTCCGGAAGATATGCTGAGATACGTTTGAAATACTGCAAAATATATCTCATTTTATTTTAATATAAATGTTCTAATACAATTGTAAGCTATTTGAAATTTTAAGAAAGATGTATTTAAGATTTAATTCTTGTATATTTACTAGGGAACTTTTTAATAGGAAAAACAAACACAAACTTTAAAATTTTAATATAGATATGGGTTCAGATATTCCCGAATTTTGTCCACGTTCAGAAGACCACTGTTTTCTACTCAAGTAAACGAGGATTTTAAAACTGTCTATTCAAATAGATGAATAACGGAAATATAGATTTTCAAACAAATATCTTTTCATTTTTTAATTAATAAAGAAAATTTGATACACAATCTAGCTTCAATGGTGATGAAAATACCATTGCACCATTAGTAAATTTTTTGTTCGAAAGTTCTTAAAGGGTGTAATGAAACTTTTCTCGTGTTGTTCTAGGCAATCCCACTCTGACGATGGATCTCCAGTTTTCTTTTCTCTCTCCAAGGATACAGAATAACACAGGGATTCAGTAGAAAATAAACGAGTTTGAAAAAGACTGTTAAAAGTGAGAAGAAATTCTACAGAAATGTCAAGTTGCTTTCGAATCGCATTAAGGAAAAATTTGCAGAGAAACTTTTAAAGACAACTTTCGTATTTTGCTCAGAGTCAGCTGGATCTGTGCTTAACATTTATCTCATACGTTTGATACGATGGAGCCAGATATGTTCCGCCATTTTTAGGTTATAATAACTAAAAAAGTGATATATTATATAAAATGATATATTATGATGATATATTGTGTATGCTAAACCAGTTGATGTAAGTAAAATATATTTTGTGTTGGTGTCATTTTTTACAACGAAAACAAGAATTCTTAGGTAAATTGGATAAGTAAGTAATTCTCTTCGGTAACACATTCTAAATTCTTTCACAATATCACACTTTCACTCAGAGACTTTCTTCAATGGTATGCAAGTGTCGTAGTGTGGGTATTTCGATCCGCATTGGTTATCGAAACGTGGAATATTTTACGTTAGCCGCTGTTCTTGCCATTCTATTTCGAATTGGTCAACTTCAT